GTTGAGTTCAGTAACTGGAATTACCATAAATTTAAAAAAGACCACCTTTCAAAATTTAAGCAGTAATAGATATTTTAAAACGTTGAATTAGAAATAGACCCGTTTAAACCGTCATGTTGCAGAGCAGCTGCAGTTAAAACAACTAGTAATTTAACATGTTTCATTAACTAAAACTGGCAACATGAAGTATTAATGTTGATAAATTGAGATACAGAACAGTCAGATAACGCTTCACAATGGCAAAAAAGTGTCGTATTTGCATCAACTTACCGGGAAAACACGGAGAATGAACTACGTTCAATGCTGAACCCGCTGCTGTTTGGAACTATTTGCCGCTTCATGACCCACGTGACTTCCGCATTCCATTCTTTCTATGGGAGCTGTGGGAGTGTCGCAACTCTCTCTTTACAGGGCTCTGGTTTAAATGTTAGAGCAGTGTCCTCTTTGTGTTTTGGTTTTGATCAGTGACTTGTTATTTTCAGCTATGAGCCAATAGAGTTTGTTTGTGCAAAGATCTAAAAGTTAAAACACAGTTTCAAAAGAATTCTAACTGAACGGGAAGCCAGTACAGAGACACTAAAACAAGCATGATGTGATAGTTGATGTGGTTTAACAAATACTGGATGTGAGACAAGGCCTGTTTGTAAAAGGACTTTTTAAAAAAGTAATGAAAAATTTATTTTATAAAAAAAAAAAATTAAAAAAAAATTTCCCTTGGTGTATTGTATTAATACCAAAAAAAATTGTGTTGGGTCAAAACTTGCACTGAGTTGTACTGCATCATGACTGAGAGATGAATTGTATAATTGTGTGTGTGTGTGTGTGTGTGTGTGTGTGTGTGTGTGTGTGTGTGTGTGTGTGTGTGTGTGTGTGTGTGCAACGCTGACACAATATCAACGCCTTCGTTCTGGCTGTGGCACTGTTCACCCTTCATACATCATTATTTATCTGACCTCACAAACACATTTAGAGCCTACGTTTTCACTGCGTCATCAGGAGATGAGTAAAACACACACACGCACACACACACACACACACACACACAGACACACACACAAAATGGAAATACGTCATCATGCGAAAAGTCTCCTGACATCTGCAGAGCTCGTTTTTCTTTGCTCTGTTTGAACTTTTTCTCAGATCAACAACTTCCAAATTAACTATTGAAATACGAGCTGGACCGTTTTGTGCAAAGTTTCCCCACGTATGTGTGCAACAACAGTATTAATAAAGTCCAGAATATAAAAAGTTAATTAATGAACACATCATTTCAAAATAAAAGCTCATAATTGTGATATCTATAAATGATTAAAAAATGCCTTTTTTTGATCTAATAAATGATATTTTGTCTTTAAACTGATCACGGTTAATTTGTTGACTGTATTGTCTTATTTCTTAGTAACACTTAAAGATTATTGCTAGAGCCACCTGCACAAGGGCACTTCAGGGGCCAATCAGGTGTTAGCAGGTGTCAGTGCCCCCATGACCCCAGAGCTGCAGAAACTCAACTTTAAATACAAGATTTTCTGTGCAGCACAAGAGCGAACCCAGGAAATAGCCAGAGCCTCACTAACGCTGTCCTTGCACAGAATGGAGACATCAGAAAACAACCGAGTTGAAGTAAAATTGTTTTATTGGCGTAACATTTTGACAAAGCAAACCTTCAAATCTAAACGAATCATGTGTCGTCATGATCTTAACTTCATCTTCTGGCAGTTTGTGAAATGTGCATATTTGTTCACTTGCAAAAAAAACGAAGCTGGGGGATAAAAAAAATAATAATAATGAAACAAACCTGGGAGAAAATTAATTCCTTTTGATCAAAGTTTCATTTACTTAATTGACACAATAAAAAAAGTCATTATTTTCAAATGTTTGAATTTTATTCAATTTACAGCCTGCTGAGTTTGTGCAGTTTTTAAATATATTCTCCCAAATTGTTAGTAGTATTTGAAAACAAGATTAAATAAAGATGAAAACATCTAAAAGGTAAAACAAACTCTTAATTTCTTCATTTTTGGGCGTATAGCAATAGTTTTTGAAAAACAAAAGACAAAAGGCCCTTGTTGAAACGTGTTGACTCAGTTATTTATCTTTCTAAATAGTTTAATGAAAAAGCAAAATAATGTCAAATATGTGCCTTGGAGAAAAAGAAGGCTCCACCGCAGCAGCCCTGCTCATAATTTGGTTTAATTTATTTCTGTCGTCGTTCGACTCCTTGACTTAAATCTCTAAAACTCCCAGCTCAACAACACGGTGCACAGGCGGGATGAACAGAACAGCGCGGGGATTATCTTGAAGCTCAAGTCTCGTTTGCAGAATATACAGAGTTACAGTTTCCAGACGGCGGTGAGAACAAGAATATAAATCAGCTAGCAGCAGTTCAGCCTAAATGTCTGAGAGCAATCTGCGACCTGAAGGCCGCAGGTTTGATCCCCACAGCAGAAACGGAGTCATCGTGGTCGCTCCCACCGATCAACTCTGAGAAACAAAATACCTTTAAAATGAGTAGAAAATAAAAACAACCCATCATCTAAATAAAAAAAACTCTTACACGTTTCCTTCAGAACAAACAGTGTTTAGATCTCAAATAATCTTTCTTCACCCAGTAAAAATGAAAATAAATACATTTTTAGGGAAAAGGAACAGCTTCAAAACCCCTAAAATTAAATAAATGTACAGAAATGTACTGCAGCGGCACAAAATAAATTACTTTGAACTGGACAGAAATCAGGACCTGTGGTGACGAGAGAGCGTTTTTAATTTCAGAGCATTTGCAACTCGACCCTAATTCTGACAATTATTGGGACACTGTGTGAAAAGTAATTAAAAAAACAGAATGCAATTTAGTGTTTTATTTACAGTAGAACATAATAAACATGTTGTCGGAGAAAAAAACTAATTTGTGAACAGTCAAAAGTCGGAACATCTCAGAGTTTTAGTCTGAGCGTTCTGCTGACATCCGTTCTGAGCCGTCTGTCCTTTTACTGCCACAGCAGTTCTTAAATACTTCCACAGATTGAGAGAAACAACAGTTACAGGGAGGGTGATGAACATATCTGCCAACCTACTTAGATTGCTCCAACCCACATAGATTGCTCCAATCGACATAGATTGATACAACCCAAATAGATTGTTCCATCCTACATAGATTGCTCAAACTCCAACTTACACAAATTGCTCCAACCCACATATATTGCTCCAAACTAAACAAAATGTTCGAGCCCACATAGATTGCTCTAGTCTACATAGATTTATACAACCCACATTGATTGTTCCGACCTACATAGATTGCTCAAACCCACATAGATTTATCCTGCCTATATAAATTGCTTCAAGCCACATATATTGCTCCAGCCTACATA